AAAGATCAGGAAAAGAAGAAAATTGTTATATGTCATACCTAAATCGATGAGAAAAGGTATTGTAGTAAAATTTCACGATCTTTTGGGACATTTTTCAGCAGACAGAAGAACTGTTGCCAAAATCAAGGAATCATACTGGTTTAAAGGAATGAAACGATATGTTATGCGTCACATTTCGATGTGTTTCGAATGCCTAGTGGTAAGAAACAAGGAGTACTGCATCCAATTAGACCTGGTAGAAGACCTTTTGCAATTATACATATAGATCATTTAGGACCATTCGTAAAAAGTTCAAGAGGAAATACAGAATTATTTGTAATAATTGATAATTTTAATTGATTTACACGCTTATATCCTATGAAAAGTACTGCAACCAAGTATGTGTTAGTTGCATTGAAGAGTTTTGTAGATGATTTTGGGTTACCAGAAAAAATTATCAGCGATAGAGGAACATGTTTCACAGCGAAGGAATTTCGAGAGTACTGTCAAAATAATGGAATCAGTCATACACTCAATTCAACTCATCCAAGTGGTAATGGAATGGTGGAAAGAGCAAATCGAACAATTTTGGCTACGATTAAAACGAGTATGGAAAATCCGAATCGGAGAGACTGGGACAAAAAGATTAAGGAATGCGAAAGAAATTTAAACAATATGATAAATAAGACTACAAATAAAACTCCTTTCGAAATGCTTCACGGTTATTTACCAAAATTTAACGACGGATTGATGAGGATGATTACAGTTGAAGACGCAGATGAATGGGAGAATCCAGTAATCTTCCAGAATGAAGCTGGAAAGAGAATTGAAGATATGCAGATGAAAATGAAAGCAAATTATGACAAGAAGAAAAGTAATTCTTTAACATTCGAACGAGGAGAAATAGTAGTTATGAGAAGAGTACCTAAATCAACTGGAGAATCAACCAAAACACAACAAAAGTATTGAGGACCTTTGGTAGTTACAGAAGTTTTACCAAGTGATACCTATAGAGTGACTCAATTAGAAGAGAAGGTGAAAGGACATTTCTTTAGTATGACAGCTCATGTGAGCCAATTAAAGTCATGGCAGTGTCAAGCTGAATCAGAAGAAGACGATGATGATGGTGATGACATTAGTGTACTGGGTGTGTTTGTGTGTTTACTGGGGATAACGATAACAACACGCCGCATATTACTAAAACTAGGACACAGAAAAAGAATAGAAAACGACGGTGAATCTATACGACAGCTAAAGACTTTCGAACTATAAACATTAATATTACAGATTTAATTTTTTAAATATAAGTTCTTAATGTTCCGAGGTCGTAACTAAGTCAGGATGCCCGAATGTAAATGCAACGTATTAATTTTATTTAAAGTGTATTTTCCCGACTGGCAACAACAGTTTTTTTCAGAACGATAATATTTTTTGAACTGTAAGTTTTTGAGAAGTAATGTTGACGGTAATGTTTCTGAATAAAGCAAGTATTTAACAAGTAATGTTTAACGGAATGTGTTTTTAATAAAGGAACTAATTAAATGCTAACACATAGGTTACAGTAGTTAGCTCAAAGTTTTTAACTGGCTTATCAATGCCTTCTTTCCATAAAATCCTTTGCAACTTCCACTGGTCTGGATGGATAGAAATAGCTCGATACATCTTTTGTATATCAGCAGTGAAAGCAAAAATATATTTCCTGAATCTCAGCGTAATTGAGAATAAATCATCTTGTATCACACCTCCATTATACTGTATAGAATTTAGAGAGTTTCCTTTGGTTGCCAAAGAAGAAGCGTTAAATACTACCCTCAAGGGAGTCGACTTACTTTTCTCTTCTCCCCTATATACTCCAATATGAGGAATGTAATATGAACCTCGTTCCTCCTCGCTTTCGCTCACCTCAACCATATGTCCTAACTGTTGATATTCTTTTAAAAAATCTGAATATAATTTTAAATATTCGGGATTCTTTACTAAGCGTTTCCATAAGGAATTTAATTTACTCGTTGCAATTTGTTTAGAACTTCCTAAAGTGTCCGGATCCTCCTTTAATGGCATTTTAACAACGTACCTACCGGTTTTATCTCGTGTATAATTTTTTACGAAATGTTTCTCACAAATTAAAAATTCTTTGTTTTTGGGTTTATCAGTTTCAAAATTTTCTAATTCCCAAAATTTTCTAAGAGTTTTATCTAAGTTGTCTTCTTCCTTTATCAACCCACAATGAACCCTGTTTTCAGTCTCTGTTGGAATACTTCCAGACACGATAAAACCAAAAACTGTATCTTGAAAAATAAGATCAGGATTATTCATTCGAATTTGACTCGGTTTCAAAAGTTCATAAAAAAACTCCCGCTCCCAACAACATATCTACCCTTTCTGGAACATTAAATCCTTCATCTGCTAATTTTAAATTAGGAAGATCTTGCACTGAAATTTTAATTTTGCGCGAAGGTGTTAAATCAGCAGTTATTTTTGGAATTACTAAAAAGTCCAAATTCTTTATAAAAGTTCCTTCTTTATTGCATATCGAAGCATTAATTTTATGCTTTATTGTTAAAGTAGCATCATTTATTCCCGAAACGGAAATGTTTGTTTTTTCTTTCTCTAACTGCAAATGCTCAATAAGATTCCGTGTCAAAAAGTTCGACATACTGCCCCCGTCCAACAGACACTTCACTCTGTGTTTTTTTCCCTGGTTATCAATTAGAAAACATACGACTGTTGAAAGCAGAACTGTACTCTGTTTATTTGAATAATTGCTAATAAATGCCTTTTGAACGAAGAACTCCTGCGCGTATTAACATTCAAGGTCGATGAGTCATCTCGTTTGGGAACGTTGCAGTCAGATACATTTGTTTTGTTTTTATTTTGTTCCGATGAAGAAAGTTCTTTCTCCTTTACGATATTATTTGCTTTCGGAAAGTGAATAGTTTTGTGGTGCCGTTTCTGACAAAAACAAGAATATTTCGATGGGCAATTTGATACTGAATGCATATGTAGACAGTTAAAACATAATTTATTAGATTTCAAAACCTGTACTCTTTCTTGTACTGGTAATTTTAAATACGATGGGCATTTTGCCAGTCCGTGATTCTCGTGGCATAAAATACAGTTCTCTGTTTTAACATCTGATAAAAACACTTTAGCTACACTTTTTGAGCTATTATACTTATGATTAACATGAGAATACTCAGTAAGAGGTTTTCCTCGTGACGTGAAATATAAATCTATTTCTTTACCTAACTCACTAGGTGAAAACCATGAATCACCTTGCCTCACTGCAATGTGAGAAGCTGTTCCCGCATCTAAAGATTGGTATAACCTATCTGAAACTATTAGTTGTTTGAGGGTCTCGAAGTCAGTTACCTTCCTTAATTTTAAATAATAATCCCAGGCAGTTATTAAGCGAGAAGCAAACTGCACATGAGTTTCATGTGGTTGTTTAACAGTTTTTCTAAAGTTTTCTAAACACGAATATGGTGTTGGCTGAAACTCCTTCAGAACTACTTCTTTTACTCTTTCATAATTCGCGATATCCTTATCATGTAAATAGGTTATTATATTCGAAGCTTTGTCTCCTAACAGATTTAACAGAATTTCTGCTTTATAGTCCTCCAAAACATTTTTTGTAATAAACGCTCGTTCTAATGACGAAAAGAAAAATCCCCAACTCTCAGGCCGTATAGGAATTTTTACAGTTAAGGTTCTGATACTTTTTATTAATTGATCTAGTGACTCTGATTTTGTTTCGGTTTCGCTTACACCATCAAGTTTAGTTTCTGCTTTAAACTTAGCCAACTCTAACTCGTTCTTTGATCTCTCAAGTTTTAATTTTTCTAACTCGACAAGTTTTTGCTCTTGCTGTTTTCTATTTTCGATAATAGAGTTTGCTATCTCTTTTACTAAATCTTGTTTAGTTTTAAAAATTTCACTATTCTCAATAATATCAGTCAAATCTGCTATAGTCATTTTTTCGTCAACATTTAGATTTATTCTAAGGCAATAAGCCTTAAATCTTCTTTTTTAGCACCCTTAAATAACATTGTTATTTATAACAGAACAAGCACAGAATGTACAGAATTAACAAGAGAGGAATCACTTACCTCTGCAGTGATTCACTTTTGATGAATATCCTTATCCCAAATCAGCGATATTCGTTGAAAAGAACAAGCTGCGAATACTGGCAAATACAAACACTCCTGTGTTCTCAAAAACGAAACACTATTTACTCAAGCTCCGGTCGACTACGACCAGATATGTTTGGGTCTCGTCCCAAATAACACACACTAAATAAATTCGCTGGTTCGATTCTTTATTAATTCTCATAATTAATTACAATTAACTCATAGCTGTGACCAGCCCTCTTACACCGTCGATGGCGATTCTCAAACTCGTCAGATCATCACATTACAGTTGCGCCTGCGTGGATTACATTACAGATGCGTAGGCGCGAACACACCCCATAAAGTTTTTTCAAATGTGTGAAGAGATGTAGGTATTGAACAGTTCCTAAAGTTTTCGCACCATTTTTCCACAAAAAGAAAATGATAGCTTATTGCATCTTTTATGATTAAAAAAAAATGGTACTGCAAAAAGCCTCCTGTCTGAATCAAGCAGTTGAATCTGACTAAACATGGAATAGCTGCATAAACATGTCAAGACTTGTCTCTGGGAGATAGCATTGCCTGTAAGTTCTAGATATTGAACTAGACCTGAATTTTTGAACTTTGGAAATGTCCTATATATATTAAAAAAGTAGGGGAAGGGAGATAAATGGAATCATTATTTTTTTTTAATTTGTTTATAGAGAAAAATATCAATTTATAATAGCAACTTTATGACAAAATTAGCTAATGTGTATTTCATGAACTATATAATTGTTGCTGTGCTAATACTTTTATATGTGAACTAGTTCTTGTTTTAATGTAAAATAGTAGATAAATATAGTGTGAATTATATTTGCAAGTCAGATTTATCTTTGAAAATATTATTCAGATTCTTTATGAATTCTATAGATGAAATTAAGTGATGCTGCAAATGACCAAGATCCAATGATAAAGGAAGCAGAAAGAGTGCTTTCTATTTTTATGAATTATTCAAAGAAGGCAAAAGGTATGCACATATCTTTTATCATTGGAATTTTGTGGGTGTTTATATATATATATATATAAACATATATATATATATTGTTATGAAATTTTCCTTTTATTTTTGCTGTTATACTTGCTGTGAATTTCAAATACTTTAGCCAGTCAATACAATACATTGTTAATTATGTTCTGCGAGGTGAATTCCCATCACCAGAATATCAGACCATCAAACAAACAAACACAGAATTAAAACACTTCAAGTTTATTCTACCTCACCACTTGTGAATGTTTAAATTAAAATATAAAAACAGCTTTATCAACTAACCTATACTTGATAAAATTCATATCTTCCTTTCATAAAAAAATATAAATTCAATGAATTAAATCTTAATGTAATGAGAGACTGCAAGCTTGCCTGGATCGCATCAGAATTCCAAACACACACGTACCAAAACAGAATCGGATCTCAGTCTATAATATTCACAGCCAGATTAGCAATAGTTTTGTCGATCTGGTTTTATTAGAATCGGCAAGGCAGCAGACATCAGCAGGCCAAACTCTCGCACTTCTATTTGTAAAATTATAAACCTTATAGTAAATCTGCTTGGCACTCAAATCTACATAAATTTTGGTATGAGCGAGCCTTTTAGCGAAAAAAAGATAGAAAAGAAAAAATTAAATAACATTTTGATAGTAAAACAAAAGTAAATGTCATAGCATGATTCTTCTTCTTTCCTGAATATGAATATGATTGATAGCCTTTTTAATCAGTGTAATAAATTTATTACTGTACCTAATTTTAATCTTAATTAAGTTTAAATTAAGTCTTTCTTTTCTGATTATTAATTTCATAAATGCTTTTTAATTCAAATTAAATAACACCCTTTCCTCCCTCTGAAAAATTGTAACCATTGCTGTACTTACTTGAAGTTTTTATTACACACAGTTTTATGCAAATCTGAAATTTCTATAAATGTTTATTTTTATATTATAATTTTGTGCATTTTATTTGGAAATGCACAAAATTTCCTTTTGGGGAAAGGAAAAAGAAATTTAATCACCATGTAACCAAATTTTGCAGTAAACAACACTAAGTGCCTGCAAGAATTTTTTGTGATCGAAAATATTATATGTGTAACTATATATATTTTGTGTAAAAGTAGTGTATGCAAAGTAATGTATATGTATTTAGTTGGTATTATTCAGTCTACCGGGAAGTTTTGTCTGTTTTTTGGAATAAAACAAAATACAAATTTTCCTTACAGTCAGTAAACTTTATTAAATAATATAATTTCCATTATTATTAATGAATTCTTACCAGCATGATGGGAATTTGTATATCACATTTTTGGAAAATGTTGTATCTTTTGATGCGAAAAATTGAATCAGTGCTTCTTTGATATCTTCTTCATTTTTGAAATTTTTTGCCCTTCAAAAACTTTGTAAGGACAAAAACCAATGATAGTCGGAGGGTGCTAAGTGCGGTGAATATGGTTAATGGGACAGAATTTCCGAGCCAAGTTTTGAAATTTTTTAATGAGTCCCCAAATTAGCATATGTCCTGGCATTATCATGATGCAGTATGATATCCTTCCTATTGAACATCACCGGACCCTATGTTTGGCCTGCTGTTTTAAAATTATCTAGCTGTTGACAATACTTTTCTGTAGTGAGCTTTTCGTTCGGTTTTAAAAGTTCATAATGTATTCGTCCTCGAAAGTCCCACCATATACACAACATTCTCTTATTCAGGGTCAAATTTGTTTTTAGAGGTGGAAGGGCTAGGTTTTCCGGGTTCAGAATATGCCATTTTCCTTATGATGTTTTCTTAGGTAATCCACTTTTCATCCCCAGTTATCATCCGGTTCAAGAAGAGCTCGATTTTCATCTGAGTTCGCAGAGATGTGCATATGACAACTTGGTCATCCAAATTCTTCTGACTTAATTCATGTACCACCCATTTTGAATATTTCCACACAATCCTACCTTCCTTATGTGGTTCAAAATGGTTTTCTGAGCAGAATTTAAGCCTTTTGGCAATCTCCAATGTTGTCATAAAAGGTTATTGCTCCAACATGGTCATAACAACACTGTCGCCGATCAACGATGGTCACTCAGAACATGGCTTATCTGAAAAATCTAAATCGCCTGTTTCAAATTTTTTTTAACCATCTTCTGCATGTCCTATCAGAAACTGTACCATTCCCAAAAGATTTCAATAAATTTCTACATGCTTCTGTAGTATTTCTTCCTTTTTGAAAGTCGTATAAAATACTAGTGGCGTAAATGAACTTTATTAGTAGTCATGGGTACATTATCGCTTCACACTTAAGCCTAACCTGAATCAATTTTGTTTTAGTTAATTTGCTATGCCAGTATCTGTACATTAAGCAATAAAAATAGAGAGCCTAACATGTATCAAATAAACATGTGCTTACGTGTGTTGTCATAAAATGGACAGAACTTTCCTGTAGACCGAATATAATGTCAGTTGAACATTTAATGTTAGGTTCGATTAATTGATTAAGGCAAAGCTATGCAAGGGATGGTGTCATGGAGGAGTTTTTAAGTGGAACTGGCTCATGGTTATTGAACATGGGGGGAAAAACATAAGAATTCCCATTCAGCCAGCCCGTTTCCTGGAATCGGAGCCTGGTTCAACTACCTGTGTTCAGCAGCTTTACTGCTCAGTGGCTGTGGGCCTTGATTATTTATTGCTTAGGATTGTGGTATTACAATAAGTAATTGCATTACAGCACTTGTGATAAAACATCCTGAAGGCAGTGTATAACAATTCATTTGAATAAGTGTTTAGTTATAACAAAATCACAGCTGAACCTGGCTTATAATGAAACTTTTGTTCCCATCCAGTGGCTGAATGAGCGTTTTTCTTCATATGTAACGTGTATATTAGCAAGTTCCCTTAGAAAGTCCTCCATGAAGGCATCCCTTTCCTCAGGCACATAGCCCTAGTGTGCTTACATCTTAAGTCTTTCCTTGGCGGTCAACACTTCATCATTGATGGCGAGCTGAAAGAAACTGTTTCCAACTGGTTGAAGACACAGGTGGCAAATTTCTATGAAGAAGGTATACAAAAACTTGTGCCACGCTATGACAAATGCCTGCGATATTTCGGCAGTTATGTGGAAAAGAGTTGTTGAATTTTGTGCAATAAATAACTTTTCTGTAGCTGTACACAATTTACTTTTATTACCAAACGGAACTTACTTTCTGGACGTACATTGTATATTCAGTATCTATTTATCGTCAATATCCTAGGCCCTTTTCAAAGGTTTCTAAACTAAAACTTGATCAGTTTGCTAAGCATCTAACTGAATGACTATTCAACTTGTCTCATTTCCTGAGGTTAAATTCAATACCTTCGCTGAATGATGACAAGCTTAATAGTTTTGAAGATAGCGTGAGAAAACTGCATTCTGAGTTTGAGTGTAGATTTCAATATCAAACAGAGTTAGATACTTTCATCTAAATTGTGAAGCAATGAGACTGGATTTGCAGCTTCAATTAATTAAGTTACAGTCTAGCAATTGTTGTTTTTTAATGTTCCAATATGAGCATTTTATAATTTGTTATTGAAAGCAAGTTTCTCAAATTTAATATCTCAAGCCTGAAAATTAGTGCTATGTTGCTTCATCTTATGAACGGGAACAAATGTTTTCTACCATGAACCTAAGGAAGAATTATATTAGAAATAGACTGACTGATGAGCATTTGCCAACACTTCTCAGAATTAGTACATTTGCAATTCTAACCTGAATTTAAGAATCTTTTTTAAAATGCAGTTTCATTCATTACATTAATATTTGTATGCTCTTATTTAAGTTTTAGAGTAAAATATATTGGCCCAGTTCCAAAGAACTTTGCCCATCTGCTTCCTTTTTCATATTTTATAGAAGAGCAGAATTTTCATATATTCTTTGACCAAACTCTCTGCACTTTGTTTCTCTGTCAAAAATTCATCTGCATGATGAGCAGCTATAAATGCAAAGCTTCTGCGCAGAAGACGAGGCAAACATCATTCAGAGCAATAAAAATCGATGCAGCCAAATTAATATCTGCCAGCCATACAGTTTATCTAAATCTACTGTTAGTACCAGAAGAAAAAATCAAAACTCTGTAATTTCTGCTTATGGAAAAAATTAATGAGGTGAAATTAAGGGGAAAGATGAGAAAGGTGGAACATGAGGATGTTAATGAAGCATTGCTAAAAATGGTTCATTATTTCATAGAAGCTGTAAGCTGGCAATATCTAGACAGCTGCTAATAAATTTGCCAGATGCTTTGGAAAAGAATAGGCAACAAATTTAATAATTGTTCATAATATTCATGGCAATTAAATATTAATATAATTTTTTTAATTAGATTTATAATTCACTTCTTTTGGTAGGTGCAATTATATTAACCAGTTTTTCTTCCTTTATTTTTATTCATCATTAAATTTTTACACATTTTCCTGAGTTAATTTCCTTATCAAATTGGATATAGTGAATCGTACATCTTCCCTTTAGGTTTATTATAGTGGGATTCAACTGTATAACTTTTCAAGGCACATTGCTTTTGATAACAGGATGTTTAGATCACTTCTTGTCAACAGGCTAAATCATGAAACATTATTGTAATTTGCCCTATGCTCAATTTTCGTCTCTAAATAATTTTCTCTTGCGATGGAAATTCAGTACATTTTCCACTAGAAAATTCCCCTTTTCCCCAAAAAATATTTATTCACTTCAGCCGTTATTGCACAGTAATATAGTGTGGGAAAATGGTGCTTTGGTGCAACTTTTCTGCTTTTGCATGTCATCAATGAAATACTTTTCAATCTAAGCTTTTTTAGATTTATCCTATATTTTTCATATGTATAAAATTTTGCTATTTTTAAAAAAATTTATTTATTTTCAAAAATTTAAGTGAAACTAAATTTTTGCAAGTTAAATATTTCATAAAGTTATTATTCTTAAAAAGGGATTTATAAGCCATGAATTTCATAACAACACGACTAGACAAGAAAGCATTTACTATTATTATATTGCATCTGTTTTAAATATTTCTCTCTATATATATGTATATATTTTGTTTTTTCCATTTTTAGAAGGCATATGTTATTTCGAGTTTGTTCTTAATCATGATTCGTTCAGTGAAACTGTTGAGAATATATTTACTGTATCACTTTTACTGAAGGTAAGAAAATTCTGAATTTTGTATATTCATTAAATATTTTGAATGTGTTAATTGTATTTCGTAAAAAATTAAAATTGATACCCTTTTTTTTTTTTTTTTTCTTTTGTTGTTAACGATAGAAACGCTAAGAAAATTTTACTTTTATGGAAAAAAGCAGTTAGTATTTTAGGTTTTTATTATTAATTTTGTATGATTTGATAAGATTTTGGAAGATTGGGCGTCTGCTAAAAACCTTTTCACATATAAACTAATAGTATAGTATAAAGTCTGAAATCCAGACATTCAGTTCAGAATGATCTAAAATTTGGACCTCTGGAACACTAGGATTTTTTTTTTTTTTTTTTTTTTTAAGTACTTGTGCCTTTGATATTCTTTCATAATTAAAAGATGTGGAGAGTCCCAATTCTTAATTTCACTCCGGCCTGAAGGCAGCCTGTCAAGTGATTATTTATTAATTTTTGCTTTTCATCGCTGCATGACTATCCCAGACTTTAAATTAATTATTGCTGCGAAGACTCAGTACTTCACTGCAGCGAAGTTTTGAGTGTGTAGTTGAAATAATTTTAAAAAATTCCTTTTTCATGTTCAAAAATTGATTTTATAAATGATATGCATGGGATGATAGATTACATTTATTTCTGAATGATTTAAGAATAACTGTTTTTCAGTTAAGCTTGGGACCGGTACCAGAAATTAGGGGTAGCAAAATTTTTAGAATTTAATGGAAGCACCGAGCAACAAAATTAAGGGATGGCAAAATCTTAGAATTTAGGAAAGGCACAAAGAATTTAGAGAGGCACTTGACAGCAGAATCTCAGACCCACAGAGAATGAAACAGGCCACAAAAAGTCTAGCACTAGCCCTGAATAAACCATAAGTTTATGTGGAAATTTATTCGTTTGGAACCCAGATATACCTTAAGTAGAAGAAGTACTCATAAAGTACTTACAAGAAGTATTCGTAAATATAATAAATAAAGTCTAATTCAGGGTTAACTCCGTCAGTGTATGATAGAATGAAGATAAAATTCAACAAAACAGTATGTCTTCATTCACCAATCTATTGGTGCATAATCAGTTGTGTATAGCTGATGCTAGCTAAGCTTTCTGATGATAACTGCAGATTTTTCAGATATCACAAATAAAAAGTGAAATTTTATCAATTAATGGAATTTGTGAAGAAATGGGCAGAAGTGGTAATAAATGAAGCTGGTATAATAGTTTTCCATCATGGTGACAGTGCCATAGTCATCAGTCAACTAACAGACCGCAAAATCTGTAATATGATTCTAAATCTAGAAAATATCACTACAAATAGTGAAGAAAATAAATGTTTAATAAAGCCAAACAAATTAATATTGAGCCTTTTTTTTTTAATTTTGACTCCCTTATGGTAATAAATGCTTCATTATTTTATAATTCACTATTTCATATTCTTAATTTTATAGTTTCTACATGTCTTATTAGGTTTAAACTAATGGTCTAATATCCAAAACAATTCCAAGTCCAAAATTGCCGAAGTCCCAGCTAGTCCGAATCTCAGACTTTGTACTGCAATTGTTTCTTCATTTTATGTATTTTGGCTCATGGAAGGTTTCATGAGAATGCTTTATTTCATATGGAGGATGCTTGCAATAGTAAAACAATATTAAAAATGTCATGAATGAGCACCAGTTATAAATAAACTGCTTAGCATATTTTAAAGGATGCATGCTAAATAACTCATTTTAAAATTACTTTTTTACCGACATCAAAAGAATTCTGATATAATTCCTCTTTAAAAGTTTCAATCAAAAAAAAAAAAAAAAAAAAAAAAAAAAATTAAAAAGGGATCTGAAAGCTTTCGGATTTTATATTGCACCCAAAGGGATTTTTTTTTGTAATGTTTTGTGTGTTACTTTTATTTATTTAATACCATTTTCTTTGCACTTAAACCACATAAATTTCATTTCAACAGTAATATCTTAAAATATTTAAAAACAGCTTATCTTAAGTATTTCTGATAGACAGTCTTGTGCACTGGAAATAAAAATGTTATTTTCCTAACAGTGTTGCCATTGTGCTCACTTTGAAATCCTTGAGTTTGTTAATCAAAAATTCATTAAAGTTCTACAAAATATGAAATAGATAATAAAACAAATTCGAAATTCAGGTGTCCAGGTGCCTATGTTCAGGTGGAGGATTACTTTATTGAAAATTTGATTTCTCTAAGTACTGTCGTTTTTCCAAAATGTGAGAGCAATTTTATAAAAAGTAAGCTTGAACTTTCGATTGTGTCAAAAAGAGTTTCTGATTCTGGAGCTGCCAAAGGATCTACAAAGCGAAAGCATGTTTCAATGTCCATCAAACAAAAAGTGGAATTGCTGCAAAAAATGGATACAGGCTTATCCATCTCAAAATTATGCGAGAAGTATGGCATTGGAAAGTCCACTATATATGACACAAGAAAAAGGAACTTTTGAATTTTTGTGGAAGCATCTTAAACAACTTACATTGAAAGAAATGTTTAATAAAGTAAACAAATAAATATTAAGTTTTTTTTTTTTTTTTTTTTTTTGTAAATTTTGATACCCTTTAGATCATTATTGCTCTTTATTTCATAAATTATGCTTTCATATTTTCAATTTTATTATTTCTGCATGCCATTTTACCAGATTTAAATTGAAGATCTATAATCTGGAAAAACCCCTAATTCAGAATCGTTAAGTCCCGGCGAGTCCAGATTAAAGATTTTGTACTGTACATAAAAAGAACATGCTTCCTGCTGTGATACCAAGAACTCACCTACTCCCATTATACACTTTCAATTATCAGGTGCCATAAGAGCCCCCTTTTTATTTTTTTTATAAATACAGGTTGTAATATATCATTTTGTTCAGAAACAATAGTCATTAAATGATTTTATTTTTTAATACACCTCAAAGCTTTTCTTTTTTAGCTTAGGCCGCCCTAAAGGTCCCTTTTTAACTTTTCATTAAATAAGGTGGTTGTGATGTTTTCATTATCTCTTCACATCTATGAAACCTGCGAGTTGCTCACATGCACATTTATTTGATATATATTCCCGATCTGAAAAATTAACTGCATACTCATTCTGTAGTAATCAAAAAGTATATTTATTTATTTATTTATTTTTTACACAATATAATCAAATTTTCAGTCACACGAAATATTTTCACTATTTTAACATATCAGCTTTTCTGTTTTTACACCTTGTACAAGAAAAAGCCGTGGATATCTCGACCGAATTTCAGGTTAAAAAAAAAAAAAAAAAGCTTGCATCATCACTAGATGCATGCTGCACTTTCTCCATCCAGGCTTCTTCTCTTGTTCGTTGTGATTACCCTCTCTTTTCTGATTGAGGTGGCTGTCCTTGCCAGACTCTCTGGCAGGGCTAGGTCAGGTGCTTTTTTAAAATCGAGCATGTACATGACACGCCTGTGCCAAGAAGAAAATTTGTCCTTTTTTGGAGACCTGTTTCAACACCCAACAAAACAATATTGTTAACGTGATTCATATACAATAAAACCACACAAAACACTATGACATTATCAGTTTAAAAAAAAAAAAAATGCAAACATACAAAAAGAAACAGCAGAATACAAATGAAAAAAGATATGTAAATAGCCCTGTCCTTATCATGTCTGATCCTGTGCATCCCTACTGGGGCTGGTGGAACTGGACGTGTAAGGAATGTCTGATATTCCGAGTAAACCTACCAGTCTATTCCTTTGAACAGAATTTAAATTTGACATATTAACTCCTCCAGAGATTCTGAGAAAATTTGTCCGTCGATAACCAGTGTAGATTCAATATCCCCAAGCTCCTCTTCTCCTTCTAAGATAACATTCACTGCATGTGATCTAACTGCTTAAGGTCTAATCTTTTTCTGATGAATATGCCTTTTGGTGTCATCTGCTTTGGAGTCAAATCTGCTTTAAAATTGGTTCCATTGTCACATGCAATTACGTTTGGGATTCCTGTTCTTGAAAAAAATGTGTATAGTGCCTAACAAGTAGATTTGGCGGACAGGCTAGTTAGACCTACTGCTTCTGCCCACCTGGTAAGTTGGTGTACCATGCATAATATGTACTTATGGCCTTTAGATTTGGGATGATCAATCAGACCTATCACATCAATGTTTACAACTTGGAAGGGTAGATCAGACCTTGTATTGGGGTGATTGGTGTCCTATTCGCAGTTTTAAATGGTCTTGTCATTTGGCATTCTTTGCATGTCTCACAAAACTTCTGCAACATCCTATCTCAGACCTTTCCAATAAAAGGAATATCTAATGCTCTGCAACATCTTCTTAACCCCTATTTGGCCACCCAAAACAGAACAATTTACTAACTGTGAAATTTTCTCCCTCCGATCCTTGAGTACAACTAATTGGCCAGCACTTTGCCTAAGAATTTTGTCCTTATGAAAGAGAAAGTTATCAACTATATAATAATTCTCTTTTCCTTCCTGAGCATTCTCCCAAGCTTCTACTAGAGGTTCACAAGTCTCATGCTCTCTGTTAAATACATCTCCAGTTCCTACTCCTTCTGACTGAGTTTCCTTTTTATTCAATTTCACATCGCCCTTTCCGCCAGAATTTCTTCCCTCATTGCTGGTCACCTCCAGCTTTCCCTGAATTTACAGTCACAGTAGACTTCTTCTCCCTCTCCAACTCTAAGTTGCCTATGGCCCCTTTATGCAAGTTTTCAACTACCTCACGTATGCCATGTAGCTGACCCTCTAATATGGCAAATACCTCTGGAGGAATTAACACATCCTCGACCAGTGACTCTGCAACTGCACACCAAATCTCTTGATCTGTGGCTTTGGTGCTTTCTTCCACAGGGATACTCAAGGGAATGTTTACCAAAGGCCATTTAACAGCTGGACCAAGCATACCCTTCAAATATATAGTCAATACTTCCTCAAATTGCAGACCTTTAGTAATCTCTTTTCTAACCACCGTAATCTCTGTCCCTGAATCCACGAGAGCCTTTC